GGTCGAAGCGTACATTTCATATCAATGCATCGCTAGAAATAGCTGCCGTTCCCATGCTTGCGTATCTCATAATTGTGGTTGCCCGATCAGATACATCGAAAAGGAAGTTCTTCGCAATCACTCATGAATAGTCATAATTCACAAATTTCTTGCTTGCACCTATTCCGCAAATAGACATATAACACTAGAAAACAATTTAATTGGATGTTTTGCTTGGTTTTCTCTCACAGGATAGTGGTTATCTCATTACGAGTGGAATAGGTTGAACCATTGTGTAGTATGAGAGATCAATACTGGTTGAGAAGACCCTTAGGTGTGTGCTGTTACAAAGAACGGCGAAGTTCTCCTTCAGTTGTCACAGCCGGGGCGACATCATTCCTCGTAGTTAAGTGTTGATGCGTGCCCTAATATTATTTTACTGAATGATCCCTGTATGTTCTCCAAAACAATCCGATCTGTTTTGCCAGCATGGTTATGTGTGATGGTGCACTGCTCTATTGTCGATCGCACTATGGGTTCGCGTGATTCTAGTCATTCCATTGATCATTTTTCTTGTCATCACCAGAGAGATCACTGCGTACATTGGCTCAGTTCGTGTGTCCTTTTTGTTCTCATTTAGGTCTAATGCGTACTTGGTCACCAGTTCGGGATTAAGCGCATAACGTTGCAAAGCAGGCATTACAATTTTAATGGCGAGTACCATGTCCACTACTCGTTAACGACACTATGGGAATGTTCCTGTTTGCAGCCAGCGCCCTCGAATGCTTGTTGGCATAAAGCAGGTGTTTTCGACGGGAAATCTGGCAGTAAATCCTCTGGCGTCAGACTCCATCGTTCCTTCAAGATAGATCCTGATTTCGGAAGCTGTGGAAAACAAATTGCTTTTTATAGGTTTTTCTTGTGGTCACCTTTCGTTTTTGACATAGGTGCTTCTTCAGGCCAGGTGAATCGGTACACAATGGGCTTTGCTTTGGCGGCAATTAGGATGAAGATTGTGAGAAGTGTCACGAATCAGTGGATAATACCACTACAGGTCAATGGGTCAAAGAGTCATTCTAGCGTAACAATAAACATCGAACCTTCCAGTTGATCCCCTTCATAGGTCGTTCTCATGGAATATGGATCATGTTCTTCGCACTCATTGCTACCGGATATCTCGCTTTGTGTTGTTCCTCGTAAAGTTACTCTTTGTTGCGTTAACCCCCGAGTTTCCCGAGAAACAAACGTTACGTGGGGTCAATACATGCTGTTCTCTTGAACTGGGGATCAAAGACTTATCTTTGTTGGTGACTGAAAATCGTTTCAGGCATTGGTCACCTTACATTTAGTATCCTTTTTCTGGTTTTTACTCCCTCCGTCGGTGTGGTCGCAATTTTTGCATGTACTTCCCCCCCCCCCCACGTATTCCTCGGTTTTCGCCTCCTTGTTCCCTCACTTTTTCCTCTGACTCGTTCAGCTGACTTTTGTAACAAGTTCATCCCTCGTCGTCACGAAACGTGTTAGTCAACGACGGAATTCCGGACTTTTCAATTTGACCTGATCAGATCACGTGACCTTTGTGTGTTAAAATACTGCCCCAAAAGTACAGTGTTCGGTGTTGAAGTGCCCTCTGTACATTGGATCGCGGCACAAATTGCTTCGCAACTAATCCGGGTGCGTCGTAGCAGTGAAGTCGCACGCGAGGTGGAAACGTTTTCGGTCTTGCTCGATTGTATCATTCCACTCCATTGCTGCTTTCCTTCTACTTTAAAATGTTTGCGCAAGCCCAATCCATGTTGGTAGTGGAACTCGAATGAGTTGAAGGCGCACAACACCGAGATCAACTTACAAATGTGTTATACGCACAGTGCCTGGTTTTCACCCAGAGAGTGTGGGGCCACCCGTCACCGAGAGCTCTGGAGGTCGTGACAGTCGACGACGACTGCAGATTAAGTCTCTTCTAGTCTGATTCGACTGGCTCCCCAAACTTTGCATTGCTCCTGTTAATTTTCTCACTATACGCCACTCCTGAACCGGTTTCAGTCGGGCATTCTTTTCTGCCGATGACTTAATTGCTCACTTATCACACTCATCGAATCTGCGGTCGGTGCGGAATCATATTCGCTCCCAATTTTCGTGTATCATCTCTCACCACCTGCATCCACTTATGTCATGTCAAGGTCACGATTCCGGTCACAGATAGGTTGGATTACATATTCAATGTGACGAACGCGTCTGTCAGTACGCCCGATGACCCTGCAGCACTAGTCTCTGTCATTTACGCACTCCCATCTTTGAGCAAATGGCGCAATTCGTACAAATGCACGCGGTAAGAAATTCGTCCCTGAGACTCCGCTCGGTTTCGACGTCCCACCTTGACTGGACAGATCACATAACAATATGTCGCTTGATTGTCCAATAGCGAAATATGTTACTATTGTTTCACAATGCATTGGTAAAAGAACTGGTTCAAACAGTTGATGGGTTGTCGGCAGCGCAAACCGTCATCGTAGCAAAAGCTCAGTGGTATCAATTGCACGTTATTCTTGGCTTGTTATTTCTGCTATTTCCAGGTTTCTCATTATTTTTCTATTAATCGTATCTACGTTCATTAGTGTGAACACATACTACTTATCGAATTTCCCCATAACTGATTTGAATTGCCTCGATTTACTCTGAGGTGATTCTCCTGTCTGATTGGTGCTCACTCACTTCTGACTTGGTCTATAATGAAAATAAAAATATAGTAAGTATATTTCTCGAACTTTCAAAAAGTCTTGCCTCAGACCATATGTTGCAAGATTTCCCACGTGCATATTCAAAGGAATAATTTGCAGACAAAGTATAATCGGTACTGACATCAGACTGTATAATGAACACATACTGCTGGAAACTATTGAGGAAAGTATAGACTCCCCCACCCCAACGTGTTCAGAGCTTAGATTAGGAGGTTCGCCTTCTGGAGTTCGGTCGACATTCCGTTAAAAAATATCGCTTAAAGACGCGGAGCGAAACAACAGGATACATTTATGATACTGGGTGATGCGAATATATATCTTACAGTGGACCCAGATGTACATACTTGATGAATGGTTGCATTGAGAAGCAGCGACATACCTCCACACAGAGAAGTTCAATCGCGATACGGATTAGAGGTCATTGGTACGCAGCAATATTGGAGGCTAGATAGTAGCGCTCAGCATTGTTTTTAGAGCGTACACCAAAACACTGAACCTTCAGTCGTTGCGTTCCGCAAAAATGGAGACCACTGGAAGGCACAGTGGAGAATGTAAAGGCCAGGTGTAGTATTTATCTGTCCAATCGGCCGATGTTGTCATTTGTTCATGAGCACATGGCCTCTCGACGTTAGCGAGTGCACCAATAGCCAGAAGCTTTTGTCACTAAGCCAAATGGGGACAGCGGCAGACCACCATGCCTTACATGCCAATTGCGATATAGCGCGACTTGTCCATTGCCATTGCAATGGATTCTGTTCGTTGTGAAGGCTGGGATCCACACTGTTAATGAGCCGTGATTGGAAGAAGCGGCATTCTAATGTTTTTACGGGTATCTAAAGGTCTAACTGATTGGGAGGTCACTGCGAAGAAGCCTCACATTTAATCACATCAAAAATTCCCCATTCACAAATAGTTAACCCTATTTTTCTTTCAAAGCTTGGTTTGAGCATCAATAGTTCTGTGGACAATCTTAAGTTCAGCTGCAGGTCAGTTCGCACAGCCGTCATTTTTCCGTGCTAAATTGACGTGCGGATCCCGGGCTTTCGTGGTAGAATGGTTAAACGAATACACAACTAGCTGTTACACACATTCCAGTATGTATGTAACCTTTTCCATATTCCTATACCTGGCTACTACACGATTCACCGTTTAACCCTCAGCCTTTAGATCACAAACTCCATGCACACGACTGTGGTATCCGGACTTGAAGCTCTACCCGGTTGCTGACCGATAAAACCAGTGTGCACGGTCACCATGGTTCCTTTGGGGTTGAATCCAATTGCTATGCAAGCGCCTTTAGATAGACTGGTCGAACATTACCCGCTTCTGCGTATGCAACTCTTCAGAACGGTCAGCTTTATCGCACAGATCAGAGGCATGACATCTTCGACCATCGATGCGCTTACGGAGCACTGCTCACATCTGGCTGGATCACTCCGGGGGAATTACACTCAACTCCATCGGTTGGTGTTTGACAAAAGATCCTCTAATGTTGACTAGATCATGTCTATGGCATGCACGCTGAACGGTTTTTCAGCGTGTGGTTTTCGTTATGCTCTGGCTGGCTGGGTGAAATCGCTCGGTACGCAACCAATTACGCGACAAAGTAAAATGCGGCAACTGACCAAGCAGCTCCCCTGGATTTGATACATGCTGTTTTCCTAGATATGGACCCAGGTTTGACCAAATCGGTGACGTTTCCCGCACTCACGAACTCAGTGACGCTTTGCACGGACTCTGTTCTCCTCATTCATCAACTGTATATTCTTCCTTATGAAACACTTTCCTATGGGGGAATTGTCTGCAACTGTTTGCACTTTCGTGTCGCTCGTTACTCTTCCTCTTTCATTATTTTAACCCTGCGAGTTATAGAAACTGGACCCACCGCACTCCCGTGCTATGCCAGCTGAATTGAATTGTTTCTCCGTTCGTCCTTGTGCGTGCAAATCGTCACCGGGGGGAGTTTTCTTACATCAGTTTACCCGGAACATCCTCTTGTTTCTGTATCCGGTCGGTAGTAGATTGAACGCATTTCTATCCTCGAGTAGAAAATCTTTAAGTTTATGCTTACTTTCCTCCAACACGGGTACTATCTTCACCTAGCTAAATTATCCACTGCTTTTGGACTACAACTGTACTACTTCTCGCATTCCACCAATCTACAGCCGACGATCGTCTGCTCCCATTCCATGGCCCAGGCTAATCCGTCCACCATCCTCAGCCACCCCCTTATCCTTCCTTTACGCCATTGAGTAAAACTGCCTTTGTGATTCCCCTTTTTAGGTGGACGATGCAGAACAACCCACCGCACTGATTGCTCTAGACCCGAACACCCCTGTGGACGCTATGCGTCAGATCACCAAGGCTGCCGAATGCTCCAGATCTCCCACTGCCAGCTCTGGTCTTTCTCGCCTCTCTCCTGCCCCGTACAACTGGATGGAAATACTTGGCAGTTTACGCGTGGACGCACGGGATGTGACACATCCGCAGTATCAGCTACTCCAAGTCAACGGCTTGATTGAAACCGAAATGGATTTACAGGTTTCTACGCTGCTACCTTTGTCCCACGACTCACCTCGTAACCCATTACATGTAGAAGTTGTTTTGTTGGACATGCTACTCACAAGTAGTGTACTGAAAACACCTTATTGAATACTTGAATCTAGCCGCTCCGAAACTGTATTGCCCCCCTGTTCCAACTGTTGTGGTGAATCGGCATTAATGCAGAGAAGAAAGTAACTAAGATTGTAGTGTGGCTCCTAGACACGCTTTCATGGTATTCAATATTTTCGCCTGTATTTACTTTGTACCGGTGGTAAACAGGAGCAACACCGTTTTGAAAGGTTTGCCCCCTGTACTACCACTGTAGTCCTTTAGTCTTGACATATGTAGCGCAGTTAAGGGCGGAAATATTGTCAAAATACCGCAAAATGGTCTTCAGAATCCCTTTTTCTCCGCAACAACGGTGATTCACTACATTTGTTTTAATCGGTGCTATCGCATTTAACATTAAAAAGTTCCCTCTAGAACATGGAGAAAATTCCTTTCAATGTATTGAGGGAAACAGTTGCGACTCGTCTCCATTTTTGTTTTTCTCATAATTTACACAACTAGTGCGCACATTTTCCGCTCCACATTGTGGGATTATGACCACCTTTCTATATTAGTTCCCTGTTCTCTGTTATTATTTTCATACTGCATATTGTTCAATGATTTTTTACTGATAATCACTGATCGGTGGTTCCCATGTGCTTTGATCTACTTAGCCAGGCCATATCAGCAAGCCTGGTACTGTGTTCCTCCTTAGGTGTCACGGTAGTTACCGAACAGTTAAGTGCACGTCGTATCTCTTAGCTCCAATCCGCGATGACAAAACCCTAGTGTACATAAGGGTATTTTTCTAAAGGATGTATGTTCACGGATTAGTTTCCCTAGAGAAATCATGCATCGTTGTTAGGGAGGACATTTCCACATTTTCCTTCGGTTTTGCATGCTCTTATTGAGTTAACTCGGTTGCTGAATCACAGAGAATCCATTAACATATGATGTAGGCCAATCGGTTGCCGTTGTCAGCTAACGTTTGCCTCACTGTTTCTTAACACTCGTGCAGTTGGTCTCACACGTGTTTTGGACTAGGAAAATAATTTTTTTGTTTAACTCTACTTAATTGCATGAAACTGCTTCGTGCAACGAAATCGGACCAGTTACTCTTCCCTGGGATACCCACACGTGTGCTTCGACCTCTGATCATTTGTCCATTGGATAACTCTCATTGGTAGGCATATCACGGTTTGTGATGAGCTATGTGAGTGTTCTGAACGTGTTTACTGATTTTCAACAAAGACCTTCCTTTACCTTTCTTTAGTGAGTAGTTGGTGGACTTATCATGTTTTTAAAAGAAGAAACTTATCTCTAAGACCAGCTTTGTCCCTTGTAAATCCTCGCAAAAACACGGTAAATCTGGTAGCGGTTGAGCCGTTCGCCTCGTGGCTTTCCCACGCTACGCTACTTACTGCACGCTACCCAACAACGCACTGATGATGTTACCTCGATTGGTTACTTAACGTTTGCAGCAAGGTTGCCAAGCTCATTCAATAGTTCAACTGCTGCCAGAACAACTTGAGCTGCCAATTTTTGCCTTAATTTCAAGCCCGATAAATCACCATACAACTCACTACTAATTGCCGTAATTGCCTTAGCACCTTACTGCCACCTCAATTGGTGGCGGCTTGCAAAAGGTGATCGTTTATCTGAGGGTCAGCTCAGTCTTTCGCGCGTCCTTAACCATGCATGACATTGAGGGATGAGCCGTCCTATGTCGCAGTTAGATTTCAATATTGGTTTTCCGCCGTCCTCACCCTTGCCTCACTGGCATAACTTACTGACTAGTAGGTATAAGATCATGGGTTCGGATCTGGCGGGATCTGCTGGGTTCGTGCTGCTGCCGAGTCACAATAGGACAAAATAGACCGTCTGGCGCTTTTCTTGATGTGTGGTGCCTGTCTGGCTGCGTCTATCTGCGACGAATCTTCAAGAAGATACTTTCCTTTTTATCTAGCGGGCTTCTTCTCTTTCACCTCCCTGTCTCCTGCCTTACAGGAATGTCTAGTCACTCATTAATTTGATATCGGATTACTGATACATTGCGATCTAAAGTGTTGGAAACCGGCAGTGACTTCACTTTTTTACTGCATTCCCACCCTTGTACGTCGAATGAGGAAGACGTTAGCAGTTAATGAGGATACTTGTGTTTCGCAGCACGGATGATTATGTTCGATTTTTCCGCATGCCAACATTTTGGCTGCAAGCCAGTTAACATTATCAGTGCAACTTCAAGGAAGTGACATGCAAACACATCTGACTTGCTTTTTTCCCTCATCATAGTTTGAAATTTGGCTTCCGTCATTTTTATTGACTCTTTCATTTTCCGGTTGACATGTGCCGATTTACTGCTCTTATCCGTCGCGCTTCGTAAGCAATCTCTGACTCTGATTGAACTCTGCCCCCGAGTATCTCTGGTTTCGATGAACTCAGGTGTTATCCGGATTATTGCTCTCCCTATTGTCCCTATATTTTCCGAGTCAGATTGATAGTTTTCGGCGTCTATATGCACCGACTATGTTTGTATTCGCGCCTTATTGGCCTATGACCAGGTTATGTTCGTGTAGCGTCATCGAACCAACCTTCTTTCCTCTCTGGCCCAGATAGTGTTTGTCACAGTGTTTACGAAGGTCTTTGTAAGCCACACCACTTGTTTCTGTATTGCTCCACTTGCCCCTAGCATTGTGGAGTTTGTTCCGAATACTTTGCGCTTGTCAGTGAGCAGTTTTGCTTCCTTGTAGTAATAAACATTTCGCCATCATCTCTTAAATTTTCTTCCTGCATGGTAGAGTTGTCGTCCTCTTATCCACTTCCGTTGTTTGTCTGAGTGGCGGTCGATTTTCCGACATCTAACAACGCAACATACAAACCCTGGTATATGAATTCTGTGTTATGATTTGGAATTGATGATTTTGTTTTTTATTGGTTAGTTGGTCAAAATTACTTCAGCATCTTTCTGTCGATCTATATCAGCCTTGATAGTTACATGCAGGAAACCATATTTTCTCCGCATTGAGCTTTTATACACTATAGTTTTTCGAACAGTGCATCACTTGCGTATATTGCTTTTGAGGTTGTTGGTGACTGGCAGTACTAATCTCCATTTAGTCGTTCTCTACCCGAGACCTGTGTGGGCTATTCCATATTTTGAGTCATTTACAAATGTACAAGTCTGATAAAACGTTGTGAAAGACGCATGTCCGCTTAGACCAACTTCCGGGGTATTTTACGGCCGCGGTTGTTACCGGCCATTCACCGTTCCACTCTAACCGCATTTTCCTCGATGATGGCGTTCAGTGTATACCGCAACAACAACAACGTCTCTTAGTGAATGCCAAGTAGTGATCGTGAGCCCACCGTGTTCTTACCCACATAGTGATGCGCCCTCAGCCAGTGTTCCGTGGCGCCTCTGCTGACCGCGAATGTACGCGCGTGTGTGTGTGTGTGTGTGTATCGTCCTTCCTCTGCGCTCATTGGCCAATTCCCTCCCTGTCTGATCAAACACTGGACTCAGCACTCACGTTAATTGCTTGCTTGCTGTTCACTTCTATACGTATTCTGTATGCACCGTTGCTTACGAGATACTTCATCGGCCCGTCATTGTTCTGATTCATCTGGGTGTAACACACCATGGGGTGACACGATCAATGTACTCACATAGTTTTGCTGTTCACTTCTTGACTTTAAAGCAAAGCACATGAAATAAGTGACTTGGTATCACATAATAACTGTCCTATAAACGGTCTGCTCGGGTATCAACACGCTGCATACTTCGTTTCCACACACACACACACACACTTATTGTTTCCCCCTTTTCATTTGCAGGACGCAATGGCGCCGGAGAATATCACAATCGCCATTTGATTGGCTGTCACACATACACACACACAACCATTGCCCAGCTGCTCCGGGTTGTCCTTACGAGTCGCGGTACAATCATCGCATGTGTATGATGGCTCATTTAGTTTACCATTAATTCTCGCTTTTGCATCTCAAGGAGTTTACGTGCATACGTACGTATGTTTACTCGTACAATCTGTGTACACGTGTCGGTCTTCTCTCCCCTGCCCTGTTTCTGAACCATTACCCCCCTTGCCGATTGTTGTCCTCTCTTTGGTCTTTCCTCTGCATGCACTCTGGAACTCTTCCTCACTCTTGCCCATCCCACACACCCACTGTTGTCAGGCGAAGCATCCTCTACACTCATGGGTGACTAGTATTTTCTCTCTCTTTCTATTTCACGAAGTACACGTGTACATATATGAAGTGGAGTGCATAGAACTACTTGCGTTACGGTCATCTTTGTCAATAATCCCTTGCCTTCTGCTTTTCGTGCTCCTGTGGAGATTTCCCATATGTGTAATACTGGCGTTTGCCTTTCATACTATGCGGAACTTATCTCCGCGTATTCACTTTAGTTAAACAACCGTGAACCGGTCACTCACCGAAATGTGCGCGGTGGGTCCGGTCGCCACTATTCGCGGAGGCAAGACAACAATAACCTACGGTAATAATGGGAATAAGGTAACTGTAGACAGATTATGAAGAATAGGGTCAGAAAATTGTGGGTCACCTGCTCAATGATGTGGCCATCAAATATGGCAGTTATCAAGGTAAATGAATTGATGGCTTACTTTCATTGTCTGTTCCCTGATAGCAAGAATCAGTAGTAGTTGGTCGGAACAGTCTTGCAACAGCACTTTGCGAGCAAAAACACAAACCGAAGCCTTTAGTGCTACGCGTCAGCCTATTCAGGAGTGTCTGCATTACCGCTGACCCAAGGAGAGCTATATCATCCGCATGCCCAAGGCTTGTCACCTGACAGAACTTCCACTTCTGAAGAGGCTAAGAAAACGTAGTCATTTATGACAATGTCGATCTTAAGGTTGAAGAGGCAATTAGATGTGGGACAACCCTGGCGCTGCACCCCTTCTTGTCTTGGAGAACTCAGACGACAGCTTCTCGTAGATTCCATTTGGGTCTCATAAGTCACTGTGGGGCGAATTGGTTTCCCCGGCTCATCTCGTATGAGCTATATTGTTAGATGGTAAGGTCGATAAAGTCGTAGATTGATTTCAAGTCTATGGATATCGCCATATTCGGTCATATGCAAGCGTGTTCCAGGGCGTAGTGTGTTTTCACCTGGCAAGCGTTCTCCCTATAAAAAGCCTCATATGTCCCTTTAACAACTGCGACGAGGTGGATATGGCCCACCACCAATTAGTCACTGCCCCTTACTTCACCTCGCTGGAGCATTATAATCATTCAGCATGACGCTGAATTACTGGGAATATTGGGCCCCTGTTTGACAGCCAGCCAAACGAAAGGCGTATGAACCGAACAACCGGTCACCCGCTCCCATTGGGCGCGATTCCCTGAATCCGCCCCGCTGCCTTGCGGGTCAGGTCCCTATGACCAAAGACTCCGGGTGAGGCCCCCTAAGTAAGCCCCTTTTCTCGGCCTGGGCAACCGGGAAGCTGTATGCCCGCACAACACATGAAATGATGGATTTACAACTCTTTACTCACGTCTCTCGCTCTCTGAACTCTCTATTTGGCCGAGGTGCTGGCGACCGGGCATACTAAACCGCACTCTACCGCACCGCAAACTATGTTCTTCGTTTCAAGTTTGTTCAACCTTCCTGTTCTTGGCAACCCCCCTTCAATTTCGAGTCTCCAAAAGTGCATTGCAAATTAAAATGGTATCTTTGACCTCCTCAATGAACCTTTCAAAACCGATCGCACACATTCTAATACCAACAGCAAAGCTTATATTGTACCCCGCTCGCTCTTCAAGCTAGCTGCGTTCAATGTTCGATCGCTCATGCAGATTGGTTCACAAGCTGCTCTTGCGTGAACCTTGAAAACTTTCAATCGACGTTTGCCGCCTAACCGAAACCCGTTTACAAGACTCCGGCACAACGCTGCGGTTGCCCCCACTCTCCCCAAGTTCCAATTGCACATTCACCTTGCGCTTATCTGGAGATGTGACAGCAGCAGCCTCTGGTTGCGCCGGCGTAGGAGTTGCGTTAAGCGCGCGTGCTGAGGCAGCGCTCATTGACTGGTTCCCGCTCAACAGTCTTGTTTGTGCAGTCCGTTTGGAAGTTCAGTGCGATCTTCCAGCCACGAAACCAGTAGGCGCTGCTCCAACGGACTGCAGCCCGGACGAAGCTAAAGTCGAGTTCTGCCGCCGACTTCCGCAAGGAACGCCGCACGGAAATCGTGATACTCGCCGGTGACCTAAATGCGCAGGTCGGTAGACTAGAGGTTCATGGGCGCGAACGTGGGGGTCAACACAGCCACGGTACTCGCAGGACGGACAACGGTGATCGACTCCTGCAACCGTGCGCCGACCCCGGCTTGTTCCTCTCCAGCACCAATTTCCGACGTTGCTGGTGCCAACGGGTCACCTGGCGACCTCCGGCGCCTGGTCAGTCTTGGACGCAAATTGATCACATCGCTGTTAGTTACCGTTTGCGAGGCTGCATAACGGACTCCAAGTCAATATGGAACACTTATCTGACTTTGGATCATGCGTTCGTGTGTGCTACCTTCGTTCTGCGCTTTAGAGGCATCCAACAGCGTAGCCAGAAACGGTTTGACACAGACAAGCTCACCGCTCCAAATGTTCTCGGCGCATTTCAAAACACATTAGCCTCCAACCTACTTTCTCTATCGTCCGATGTTGAGACACATTGGGTACAAATCCAGAGCGCCTTACGAAAGTCTGCTACCCTGGCCTGTGGCTTCATTAGACGAGCTGTTAGTCATTGGATCTCTGCACAGTCTCTCCAATTAATGGATGCTCACCGAACAATTCCTGCCGGAGTTGAGTACGACCCACTACGCAGAACCACAGGTGTTGAGCTCAGGCAACTCCTCAGGAAGAGTCGCGAGGGTTGGTGGACACAGCGCGTCGTTGAGATGGGGTGGGCAAACTCTTCCAACTTATTCGCTCCACGGGAGGCAGAAGACCAACAGTGAGTGAGATTTTGCGTGAAAATGACGATGAACTAATTCACAGTCGTCATCGTCGTCTGGTACGATGGGCAGAGCAATCTGAAGATCACTTCAATTGGCCAGCAGCGCAACCAAGTCTATCTTCCGGGGTTCATAGTGCTCCCTGGTGCGTGGAAGTTTCTCTACCGACAGACTGAGGTTTCCAATGAGCTTCGCCTACTGAAGCGCCACAAGTCACCTGACCCAGCTGAACTTCCTCTTGCCCTCTTCAAGTATGGAGGTGCTGTTCTCACTGGCTAACTGATGTCTCTATTCCATCAGATTTGAACTACTGAAACCATTCCATCCGACTTGAATTTAGCGGATGTTGTACTTGTTTACAAAAAAGGAGACCGGACCATTTGCTCCAACCATCGTGGCATCAGTCTCATTTGTGTCGCATCCAAACTGCTAGCTGCTCTACTCTTACAGAAGCTCAGTTGCGTACGGGAACAGCACTTGCGTGAACAACAATCTGGAATTCGCCCGGGTCGCAGTTGCATCGATCACATCTTTACGATCCGCCAGATACTTAAACATCTCCATACCTTCAGTCGACCAACTATAGTCATATTCTTGGGTATTCGAGCCGCTTTTGACTCTGTTGACAGAGTGGCTCTTTGGAACTGCTTACTGAAGAGCGGAGTACCTGAGAAGTACATCAGCGTTCTTCGTGCTATTTATCATCAAACTCCGGGCCCCGTGCGAGCATACACAGACATTTCGCCCCCTTTCAATATCACTAGCGATGTTAGACAGGATTGCTCAGTCTCTATTCTTGTTAAACTTCTCCATGAACGAGGTCCTGGATAATTCTGAGTCCTGTGGTGTTGAACTGCTCCCTGGTGACCACCTTCGGGACTTAGAGTACGCCGATGACATCGCTGTGATTTGCGAGTCCTCCCAAGCCGCCCAGCATGTGCTGCTCAGACTGGAGATGTCCGCCGCCCAATTTGGGTTGGTTTGCCCCTTCCAAATGTAAGGTCCTATTACAGGACTGGTCAAGTGCATGTCCTCTCATCCGTTCGGGGTATCCGTTAGAAGTGCCCGACAAATCCATTTATCTTAGTTGTCTTAGTATTGGCGGTTTGACAGATGAGATATCCTGCTTGACTCCAAGGCTACATTCGCTTTCGCTAACCTTCCTCACCTGTGCCTTCGTCATGATCTCAACCTCACTCTCAAGGCACGAGTCTATAATGCTGCGGTATGGGCGATTCTGCTGTACGGCTGTGAGATTTGGCCCGTTCAAAAAAGCGATATTCAGCGGCTATCTGTTTTCGATCATCGTTACCTGCGAAGCATTGCTGTTGTTCGATGGCAGCATCACATCAGTAATGAGAAAATCCGTCGGCGAGTCTTCAGATCTAACGAACTCCGCCGATCGATTGATAGCATCATCTCACTGCGGAGGCTTCGCTGGCCTGGCCATCTGCTTCGCATGCCTACCCAGCGGTTACCACGACGAGCCCTATTTGTGAGCACATGCGTGACTTGGAAGCGACGAATAGCAGGGCAGTGTAAAACTTGAATCCAATGTGTTAAGGCGCAAGCGTGTCTTAGCTCCAACACTTGACGAAGGGTAACTGCGTGGCCAGTGTAGCCACAACATAACTATCACTGACTCGACTCATCGAGGGTTAGTGGCTCATCGCAGAATGTTTTATATGAGTTAGTTACACTGATCGGCGTTTTTTGTCATGCTAAATCCGTTAGTCAGTCGTCTTCTTTGTCTATTATGGACATTGGGAGTGAGTTGCTAACTAAACCTGTTTATTAGCTGCGATCAGACTGACTGATGTTGCAGAAATTCACTTACAGTTCGGTGGTACCAAGTTTGACCTACAACATACCTCGAATGTGTTCTACGCGGTACATTTGGTACGATTCCAGTTGTTATCCGGCTCCTCAGTGTCATTTGTCACTGGCAGGCCAGTTCGTCGTCACACTGATGTATTGCGGACAGTGAAAAGTTCAAAAGTTGAGAGCTTCGCTAAGATCGAAAGTGTGAGCAGCATAGGTGTTTACACCAGGGTGTGATCGAAATCCAGACACGTTCCCAAATTAATGAGACTGAGACTGTATTTAAGAGCGAGTAGAAAGGTTTCTGTACAACTCTATCGAATTAAGAAAAATCAAATTTTACTTGTGAATTATCAGCAGTTGTGTCTGGTCCATTAATCGTTTATCCGTGTTCGGTTAGAAATTCGTACTAGCGTTATTATTTCCGGACATACAATGTCTTCTTTTGGCACTGTATGTGCATCGTTTCACAAAAGCACAGGTTTCCAAAATAATCGTCGATACGG